CATACTGTATTACGGTTCCATGACAAAACCGTACACGAAAATTGCGCACAGAAAAAAAGCCCACTCATAAATGCTCACACGAAAATTACCCACACGGACAAATGCTCACACTGACGAATGCACACACTGATAAATACTCACAGACAAATGCTCACACGTTAGAATGCTCTCATGGACGAATGCCCACATTCACAATACCATAAAGTAATCAGCCGCGTTAACTGGTTACCATAGTAAACCGACGTTTCTGGAACATATTCAATAAAATTTTCTCGGGCAATCAGCTGCGTTAACTGGTTACCTTAGTAAACCGACGTTTCGGGAACAAACCCTGAAGATGGGGACAGTTCCCAAAACGTCGGTTTACTACGGTAACCAGTTAAGGCGACTGATTGCCCGAGATTTTATTGAATTTGTTCTCAAAACGTCGGTTTACTACGGAATTTGTTCCTGAAACGTTGGTTTACTACAGTAACAAGTTAACGCGGCTGATTGCCCGAGAAGATTTTATTACTGAAACGCCGGTTTCCTACGGTAACCAGTTAACGTGGCTGATTTCCCGAGAAAATTTTATTGAATACGTTTCCGAAACGTCGGTTTACTACGGAATTTGTTCCTGAAACGTTGGTTTACTACAGTAACAAGTTAACGCGGCTGATTACTTTATAGTATTGTGAGTGTGGGCATTCGTCCATGTGAGCATTTGTCCCTGTCGGTGGAGTCGAAGAGAGCAGCCCATACAGTGGGCTCTTTCTGTGCGCAATTTTCGTGTGGTTTTGTCGTGTGCGCATTTGTCTGGTCACCCTGCCTTACACATAGACATTTCATCCTTACACATAGTCGTCTGAAAATGAGTCTGAATTCATTCCTAAACTACTGTCTGTTTTGACGCCTCTAAACCTACTTACATTACTAGACACAGATTCCTGTACATCTGCCCACATTACTCTATGTGGTGTAGACTAAGGAATACCCATCCAATTAACTGACTCTTTCCATGCTCATATTACTATCTTTTCGGTTCTTTTATATTGTAATTCCATGCCTAAATTTATGGCTCTTTAAATGTTCCTGTATTCGCCTCAGTTACTAGCTATATAAACACCTCTTTGCTTGCAAATAATACTCTGTCCATATACAGTTCTGGTTACACAGGCCCATTTCATTGGCTGTATCGGCGACTCTACGGTGCTTACATGACTTCCTATTCAGAGTTACCTGTAACCGCCAATATAACTGGTTAAATAAACGCCTCAACCTATGTCCAACTTAGTGGAAGATTCCTGTGTCCCTCTGATACTATTATCTTGCTGCGGAGGTGCCTCTACAGAGTGATCTCTGACTATAAAGACGCATCCATTACTCTCAGCATTGCAGCGAACACACATGCCAAAAATATTGGCTATGTAGAAGCCTTAATAGGTACAGATGGCTCGTATCAGGCCTCTATATCTGACCATATTATAGTCTAAATAAGTGGATCTAATGCTGCCTATGCTGTTCTCTGCCATTGGCTGTACACTGGGTATTTGCATACTACTGGCTATGTACAGAAACCTCCGTCCATGATTGTAAGACTGGCAGAACAGACGTGTATATTGCACCTTATATGTCCCGGCCTTCAGACCTGGTTATACAGACGTCTCTGTCGATGTCAAAATGTCTGGCTGTAAGACGTCTCTATCACTGGATGTATCATCGGCTATAATTAATTACGTTTGTATCGATCGAAGTATACGCATCTACCCCGCTTCTATTGCTAGCTGCTTTGACGCTTGTATCACTGGCAATTTTCCTGGCTACAATGAAAATATAGACGCTTCTATATTTGCCTTAGTTTTTATATATACACGCCTATAGCCAAACCCATATTTGTGGCTCTATAGACGCTCCTCCTAGATATGTTGACACATCTAACAGTGTCTTTATTATTTTCTATATACACACTAAGGTAGCTTATGTAACTGGGCAAATGGACTCATCCAACCTAGCCTATAATGTAGGGTATAGAGACTAATGAAACCTGACCTTTTCAGGGCGTCATATCTTTCATCTGCCTATTATATGGGTATGACTGTAATACTGGCTTGAAAAGACGCCTGTATATCTCGCTGTATTACGTACGTAATGGGCACTTTTATTACTCTGTCTTAATGAGTACATAGACGTCTGTAAATATGCCCATATTACTGGTTGTACAGACGCTTCTAATCCCAAAATTAATGATATTTAAATCACTCAATACATGCCTATAGCATTGGCCATATAGATACCTCAATCAGTGTCTATAATACTGGGCACAGAGATAGTTGGATCCGTGGCTATAAAAATGACGAATCAGGTTCTATAACAATTCTTATAATACAGGATTTGAGACCAATATATCAATGTCCATATTGCCACAGTATAGCCCATTATTGGAGCAATAAAGTTTAATATCATACTGGCCATTATATACAATAGAAAGCGAAATTTAGGCAGGGTATAAAACGACATAACAGCCCAGTACAGGTGTTTCTAACTGGGATATTAATCTCGCCTTTGTATAGCCCACGAATGTGCTATAAGGGGGTACTTACAGTCCATTCTATAGCACAGCATAAGCGGTCAAACAAGAGCGAGGGGTGGCTATAGCATAGTCCTGTGTGCAAGCTATTTCTGGAAGCATCATTCTGGCCATAGTAAATCCCATTACGTCTTACTGACGGGGTTTCCAACTGACTATCGTTTTCTTCAGCGAGCTGACCTGACCTAACGTAACCCAACCCAAATTAATGAAAACATAACCTCCATTTTCACCTAACCATTGCGCATGGTGGTGACCACATGAGTGTCATTGACCCAACCGAACCCAACCAAAAACATTGAATGAAAATATACCTCGTTATTATTATATGATAATCGCACATGATCGTGTGCTTATGCATCACAGACCTAACATATCCTCCTAACTTAACCCAATAAACTCAGCTTAATGAAAACAGATCCCCATTGGACCTGACTGTTTGTCACCTGCGTATGAGCGTCATCGACATAACATAAGTCAATAGAATAATATAACCCTCAGCACCTGACCAGCGTGCATAGCTGTCTGCACATCAAAACTGCACGAACCTAACCTAACCTAACTCAACTGAACCCGGCGCATTGATAATATACGCCTTTGCAACTGACCAGTGAGCATGATCATTTTCGCATGTGCGTCATTGACCTAATTTAATCTGAACTAACATAAGCCTACCTATCCAAATTGAATATTAACAGCCCCTTTTCAACTGACCATTACACATATTCCTCTGCGCATGCGCGTTACTGACCTAACATACCCCCAACATAACCCAGCAATTAAGCGACCCGTGCTTCAGCTCACGCGCGGGCCACAGCATCTTCTCCATTCCTCTCTGTCACGTGCTCGGGTCGTCCAATGAATGGTAGTATGGCCACGTGTATCCCTGATGTTGTGCTCGGCGGCGAGAGAGTCTGTCTAACGAGCAGCGGGCCGACCCAGCGGTGCTTCTTGTCTCGCGGGTTCTACGTCACAGTGGCGGTGCTCCATGTGCCGTCGTTTCGTCTCACGACGTGGTCTGCCCAGAGGTGCTTCTGCTTCGCCACATGCCGTAGCGGGTCCTTCACGCCTGACATTCGTCTGATGTCGGCAGAGTGGAGATGACGGCCTCTCTGCTGGCGTAAGGTGACACGGATGAGTCGACGCCCAAGGGAGGCGTGGGCGACTCGAAGTTGCTCCGCAAGGCCCTTAGTATTGACCACGTCTCGGTGCCGTAGCAAAGTGCCGGCAGTACGATGGAGTCGAAGAGCTCAGCACGTAGTTTCACGTCTCGCGTAGCGTCTATCACCGATCGGATGGATCCGAATGCTGCCCATCCCGCTCGCCGTCTCCGCGCCAACTCCGGTTTGAGCTGGTTCTGCGCGGTGATGAGGCCTCCAAGGTAGATGTAATCTTTGACGTCCTCAAGCTGGAAGGCGCCGACGGCGACCGGAGCAACGGCGGCAGATCGATTACGCATTGTCTTGGTCTTTCTCATGTTCATCTTAAGACCGACGGCGTGGCTCTCTCTGTCCAGCTATGCCAGCATCTCGGAGGCTTCACCCGGCGTCGCGGTATGAGAACAGTGTCATCAGCGAAGCGCAGGTGGCTAAGGCGCCGTCCAGCAATTTGGAGGCCTCGATCGTCCCAGCAACAGCGACGGATCACGCTTTCCAGCACCGCAGAGAAGAGGTTCGGGGAGATGGAGTCGCCCTGACGGACGCCTCTCACCACTGGCACCACGACATCCCTCTGGTAAGGGATGAGCGTGGTGGAGCAGCGGTCGTAGCACGCCTGCAAAATGCAGACGTACTCCTCCTCTACTCCTTGCTGCCTCAGCGACTCCAAGACGTTCTCGGGTTAGACGCTGTCGAATGCCTTCTCGTAGTCTATGAAGGTGAGTACGAGCGGGATCTGGTGTTACCGGCTTGTCTCCAGCAGACGGTGGATGGTGGTGATGTGGTCCATCGTGGGATACGATCGGCGAAGTCCCGCCTGCTCTACAGGCTGCGCCTCCTCCAAGGTTCCACGGATGCGCGCAAGCACGCACCGCGTAAAGACCTTGTAGACGATGGGGAGGAGGGTGATCGGCTTGTAGTTGGCGAGGTCCTCGCGATCACCCTTCTTGAAGAGACGGACGGTGCTTCAGGTGTGCCAGTCGTCGGGGATCACTCCGTCTCGGACGTATCACGAGAAGCGTAGAGTGGGAAGCCGCAGGACTTGAGCTCTGTCGTGATGCCGTTGGCAGATGCGATGAGCGGAAGAAACTTGAGTAGAAGTCGTGCATCTCCTCCTCGATGCGGAGTCGCGACGTAGTTCGCTCTCCGGTAGATATCTCGAGGCAGGCAATGCACAAACGGTACTCGGCGAGATCGCGGGCGGTCTTCTTAACGATCCTCCTCGCCTCGGCGGCTGCGAGAAGACGGCGCTTCTCGAACCCGGCGTTCCTGTCAGCTTACCTCCTCCTCTCCAGCAGCTTCCTCGTCCTCTCCGTGATGCGCTGGTTCACGTAATTCGGCGCGGGGGACGTCGCCTGCTTGCTGACCATCTGGAGTCGCTCGACAAGGCTCGCATAGTCGGCATTGATGACTTCAATAACGTCGAACGCCTCCAGCTCCGCCATGACTGTGGCCAGGAGACGTGGTGGTGGTCGCCTGCTGCGTAGCTGGTTCAACCTTTCCTTCAGCGGGTTCAGATTAATCTTGGCACGGAGGAGGCGGTGGTCGCTGCCGCAGTAGAAAGACTGGACGACCGCGACATCCGACACCGCGCTGCGGTTGGAAAGAAAATGGTCGAGTTCGTGGGTGAACTGGCCGTCTGGACTAGCATAAGTCCACCGCCTCTTCGATGGATTCTATCCAAACCAACCGAATGAAAACAGACCATATTAGCACCTGAACATTTCGAATGGGCGTAAACACATTGGCGTCACACCTAACCTAAAATCAACTTAACCCAAACCAACTAAATGAAAATAGAGCCCCTTAGCATATGATTATTGTGCATGTTCTTCGGCGCATACGCGTGAGTAACCTAATCGATACTAACCTAACCCAAACCAACCCAGCTTTATCAAAACAGAAAACCTTCTTTTGTACCTGTCTATTCCGAATGTTTGCCTGCGCACGAGCGTCTCCGACCTAACCCAACCCTTGGACTTGGCTGGGCTGTCCCGTGTATGGGTTTGACCAATCTGGTCCTGGTATTGGCTAGGATGGACTTGTTCGAGTATGAGGTGAGGTAAGATGTGTATGATTTTTCCATGTTGTAGACCAATTTACAGTAATACCCCTTTTAACACGGCCCCGTTTAGCACTGTTTCGTTATAGCGCTCAATGGCAACAGCTGCTGCCATTTCAACATCATTGCTAACACTCATTTAGGTGGCCAATTAGTCACACTTCAAACCTGCATTCCTGTTGAAGTGGTTTTACCTTCTACCCAACACCACTTCATTGATAACAACCAATGGATCAGGGAGTAATTTCGAATTTTAATACCTACAACCTCCGTCGACAATTTAAGAACCTCGTAGAGAAAATAGTTGAAGAAGATAAAAAATCGATCAAGCAATTTTTAAAAGATTACAAAATTATAAATGCTATAGATAATATCTTGGTCCGCAATGGCCGCGCGGTCTGAGGCGTGGACCTTGTGCCGCTTGGTTACTGGAACCGTGGGTGCGAACCCCACTCAAGCCATGGATGTTGGTCCGCGTTTTTCTGTGTTGTGCTATCCTGTGTACAGGTAGAGGCCTTGCGACAGGCCGATCCCTCGTCCAAGGAGTCCTACCGACTGTCTAATAGATAAACGCCAACGAAAAGTTGGGACCCGCAGTGCTCAGGCACTTGAAGAACGGGACGTTCCCAGTATCCCAGTATAAATAATATCAGAGAAGTCTGGAATGAAGTGACTCCAAACTGCGTGTACGGGGTGTGGAGGAAGCAATGGCCAGAAGCATGCAGCCATTTGGAGGAATCGGTCGTAAAAAACATCGCCGAACTGGCCAGTGAAACAGGAATGGAGGGTGTGAATGAGAACGATGTTGAGGAATTGCTGCAGTCTCATGGCAAGACCCTTAGCAATGACGACCTTAAAAAACAGCAGAGCAACGCATCCAGAATGAACTTACAGTCTCTGATCCAGATGAGGAAGCACCAGCGAGAAATTTTCCAAAAAATTCTCTCAGGAAGAGACCACCACGATCACGAAAATTATGGATCAGTTTATAGGATAATACCTTGATTATGAGCGGAGCTCCAAGGTAAGGCGAGGTGTTCTTGAAATGACTATCTTGCTACCAAGAAATATTTCGTGAGAAAACTCAAGAAAAGACTCTTGACTCTTATATCACCAAGAAGCCGAGTCTTGTAGATCCACAGGCCGGCCCCTCATCTAAAACATAATTAAATAAGTTTCATTCTAATCTACGGACTAGGCGACCGGGGTTCGATCCCCGACGGGGGCAGAGGATTTTTCTTGTAGCCTCTGCGTCCAGACCGGCTATGGGGCCAACCCAGCCAACTATCCAATGGGTACCGGGGTCCTTTCCCGGGGGTAAAGCACGGCCGGGGCGTGATGCTGACCACTCACCCCATCTAGTGCCAAGGTCAAGAATGAATAGGAGCTCCCCCCAAGCGCCTATATGGCATATAGTGGGACAGCTTTACTTTACTTTACTTTTTCATTATTCTAATTGTATTTGTATTATCACCCATCTAATATATACAAATGCTACAATGACCCCGTTTAGCGCTCCACTTTCTAGGAACGTATCGTAAGCGTTAACCATGGTATTACTGTACATGCTATGAAGTGGCGTATCATTCTTGCCATAGCAAGGCAAAAAATATTAGCTTTTTTGACGTAAATACATCTATAAGGAAGGGTCATTCGGCAAAAAAGTGTTACGAAAAAGGGAAACGAAAAAGTGTAACTTCATTGTTATGTTACCTAGGAAACGTTACATTACATTCATCTACCACAGACCCATCTTAAGCGTAACTAATTCAAGTTAAGCATTCAAGCATTTTTGTTACCTAGGAAACGTCATCTGTTTACTCGGCATTGTTGTTACCTATAAAACATTACATTACCTTACCTTACCTTACATTACATTACATTTCATTACATTACATTACTTTACATTACATTCAGCTACCACAGACACATCTTAAGCGTAACTAATTCAAGTTGATTAAGCAATGTCTTAATCAAACTTGTCTCAATTGTAAAGTATGTATAAAGGAAATATTTAAAATAAAGGGAAGATATAAACTTCCTTTCCGTAAAGACGTATTTACGTCAAATTCTCCGGAACCGTGGTTCCACTATCACTTTTTGGTTTGTTTATTTTTCCTCATTGTATAGAACAAAATACGAGATATTCAGTAGGCAATGTACACTCCATTTTATATTCAAGTATAATAGCTATGATGGCCGTAGTATATAGAATTATACTTGCTATTATATGGGGTGTTTATCTTTCCATATTACAATTCAGAGAAGAAGCTATTAAAGAGTGTGTAAACTTGTCATAGAACAATGAAAAATACAAGTAATTAAGGGAGTATTATTATGGTAACCTGTAGAGACTGGTATCAATCTGGCCATAGTATTGCGTATTATATTATTACATAAATTTAGTTGCGTAGCTCAGTCTACTACCTATTAAGGTGCTTGTGGATGATTCAGACTCATCATTGAATTGGACAGAATGCATGGTACCAAAATTTCCATCATTTTGACCATTTCGAGCTATTAATGGAGGTACCATACTGGCCAAATTATATTACAGTATTTTAGTTATTGCTATCAGGTGGGGTATTTTTGCAATACAATATGATGTATTAAGATATGAAACATACTATGCATGGAATAGCCCAGTGTGCGGGCTATTAATTTTTGTATCACATTTGTCATAGCATAGCTCGTAATATATCTTTATGGCAAAATGAGATGCGAGCTATTGAGATGGGTAACAATATGGTAATTGAATATCGTGCACGGGACTCAAACTTCAATTACTCTTATCAAATGTAATTACTACTAAGAAAAATACCATTATGGTCACAATGTAGACTACTACACTAGCTATGCAGGTGATACCAATGTGGTTGTACAGTCGAGAATACGGGCTATTAAATGTGGTATCATTCTGTGTATAATATAGAAGAGCTATTAGTTTATAGATCTAGACATCGTGAAGTCTAGTATACGAGATATTAAAAGGTATCTCACTGTTCATAGAATAGCGCACTGTACGAGCCATAGTATAGCCGAGTATACAAACTATTCAGAGAATATGATTTTGGCCACAGTATAGCCCAATACATGAGCTGTTAAGGTATTTATATTCTGGTCAGAATTTAGCTGTTTACAGGATTTGTTTTGTAGGTATAAAGTGGCCAAATTTAAGTACATTATACGAACTACTAACGGCATGTCATACGCACGATACCCCATTATATGAGCCATTAAGTAGGGCAAAATATTGGCGATTACATAACGCAAAATAGTGTTCAGTAAATGGGCTACTATTCTGGACACAGTGTAGTCCAATATAATAGCTACTAGGGTGTATATTTCTGCCAATAAAATCTCACAATATACGAGCTATTGAGGGGTGTATTGTTCAACCCATACTGTAGCCCAGTACACGAGATACTTACAGGTTATAGGACTGGATAAGTATTCCAATGTACCATTGGTAATAGTATAGGCCAATATGCAATTTTTGACGGAGGGGATCATCCCTGTCATTGTAAAAAAACAGTATATCAGCTGATGAGTCGACTATCAAATCCGCCATTATAATTTCCAGCAATGGAGACATTACGTGGGCTAGCATTGTGGACATTGTCCAGTAACGTATGAGGTATGATTCTTGCCAATGTACTACCCGGGATGTGTCATTAAGGGGTGTACAAATACAGTCATAGCATAGCCCAGTATACGGACTATTAAGCTATGTTATTATGGACATAGTATTTCATAGTGTGTGTGGGCTACTTATGAGGTAATATTTTGGGGATATAATATTGAGATTAAGTAATATTAAAGACGTATAGATTATTCTATGGTAAGAACTACTAGAGCGGTGTAATTCTGGCCATATTGTAACTCAGTGTACTATATTTTCGGTAGGTTTCAAACTGGCAACTTAAGAGCTGTTAATGACATTATAATTCCATATACATAAATGACCAATGTTCAAAACGTATTGATTGGTAGTATTCTGGTCATAGTACAGTATAGTTTGCGACCTATTTATTTGGCAAAACAGTTAAACTCAGTATGCTGTTTTTTATGAATGGTATCAATCTGGATAAGCCACGGTGGTCTAGCGGTTAGAACGCTGGCCTTGTAATCCTGGGGTCTCGGGTTCGATTCCCGGCAGTGCCCGAATTTATAACTTGTGTTGGGCAAGGCCGTGGTCTAGTCAACACGTAGTTTTCCTCCGGGGGCTTTCCCGGTTTCTCCGTGGCATCCCAACAATTACTCCATTCACACACAGAAGAAGGCAATGGCAAACCACTTCTGGATCATCTGCCAAGAACGTATATGAACAGGTCCCAGTCCGAGAAAAGGATGGAAGGATCCTGTTCATATGGACCTGTCGTCAGACAGAACACTAAATAAATAAATAAAATCAATATGGCCAAACCATACTCTCTGTACGTGTTATTAAGTTTGTCTCTATCTGGCCATAGTACAGGGTAAGTCAAAAGTAGCTACACAACTTTGGAGAACTGTAACCGTATTGCCTGCAGCCAAAACGTGCTGATGTCAGCAGATATCTGTAGAGCGTAACCAAAAGTTTCGTTTGTTTGTTGTAGTTCTTCACTTTGCCGCTGAGAACGCTTGTGAATTTTGGAAAACAAAATGGAGACTTATAGTGGCGAGGAAAGAGCACATTGTTTGTTCTGGTTCAAACAAACGAATCCTCTTCCGTAATTCTCTAAGATCGTTAGGTAAGGGTGGGTGGTAAACGTGATCCTTAATGTATCTCCACAGGAAGAAATCTGCTGGTGTGAGATCCGGTGAACGAGGTGGCCAAGTGATTGGACCTGCTCGCCTAATCCACCGACCTGGGACGTGGAGATCCATATATGCTCTGACATCTGTATGGAAGTGAGGAGGTGCACCATCTTGCTTAAACTGAGTTGCATTCTTCGTCTGTTCGAACCAGAAGACACATTGTGTTCTTTCCTCGTCACAGGTATTTCCCAGTACTCGTGTTATAAAAGGGTGATTCCATTCTGGCTGTGGTATACACCATTATACGTGGCATAAAAAGTATATCATTCTGGTCATAGATTCCAACTGCTGATACTGCGGTTTCACTACGGACTGCTTGTAGGAATACACAGGTTTGTA